CTTCAGAAGGAACGAGAGAAGGTGGTGGGTGTTCTTTATTTCTCCATGTAATAATTCTGAATAGTCCAGGTTTTGCTTAGCTTGCTGCTACGTGCTCAACGGAGTTATCACCTCAGTTCTTCCCTGTATCTCTGGGTGCTTCAGAACACATTTCTTCACTCAGTTCAGTGTCAGTTTGGTGGATTGCTTAAATTTGTGTGCATCAATTTCTCATTGTGCCTTCTAGTAGGCATCAGCATCCTGTTGATGTGATTATTTCGGAGGCATGAAAGCTACTCCATGCTCATCACATTGTAATTAAGACTTTGTTATTTGGCAGCTTTCCTCCTTCTAGCAAATGTCTGTCTAGACCATCTATGCTTCTTTGCAAGATCTCAGTCAGTTTCTCTTCCAGACCTGAGTCCAGCTTTGACATCTAATGCACAGCAAGTACTGAAAAATGCCCTCAGAAAGGCAGCTGCCTGGGTTGTGTTACCCCATCCTCCTGTCTGCGCTCTGGAAATCGTTCTGCTGGAGAAGAAGCTGGAGAAGATGGTGGTGTTTTCTCCAAGGCACTGGCAGTTTTGACTGGTCAGACTCAGCAGCGCAGCGTGCTACGGCCACAGTCCCTGGTTGAGGTGCTATTGGTAAATCCAGCTGTGCTGACTGTGTAACATGCAGGTCTGATCTGCTGCTGAAATGAAAACTTCTCTAGATGAGTCAGGACTAAACTTGTCATGTCATCAGCTGATTATCTCGCAGTGCTGCCTGCTCATCTGTATGCGGCTTCTGCAGTGTCATACGCTCCAGGTTTTAGCTCATCGGCCCGTGTGTCTGTAAGGCACCTTCTACTTCATCTCATTTCTGTGAAACAAGTTTCCTTTGTTTTTTTTTTTATCTCTTGCCAGTTAAATTATCCTGAGGTGTCTCTGCTCTGAGCCCTGTTGAAGGATTTCCTGTCCAGTGCCATCAGAAGGCTTGATGGGACTTGAACTACGTTGGCTGTGGTAGTGGAGGCAAAACTGAGCTGAGAGAAAAGTACGATGTTGTGACTTGTATTAATAGAGTGTGTTGATAAAAGAAATATAAAAGAATGGGATGAACAGAGCAGCTCCCATCTGTTTGAGTGTTGCTCTGACTTTATTTTTGATCAAGTCAGTGGGTAGCCAAGGAGAAGGGGGTAAATGGCACGTTAATGATACGGGCAGATGCTGGTAAACTGTGGTGACTGTGAGGGCAGAGAACGAACACAAAAGGCTTGGCAAGGGGAAATGAGGCAGAAGGAGCTGGCGTGGCCACCAGAGTCCCCTTGGCAAAGGGCACGTGCAGACATCTGTGGGAGATGAGCTG